AGAGTCTGATACCAACCTGGCTGTGCGCGGGCTGTTATTGTATCGAATTAGATCTTACTTGAATGAGCTAACATTTGTGCTGTTTTTGATTCTCATCCATTTCAAAGCTCATTTTAAGGTCAGCCGTCATAAGGGGTAGTTTTAAGGCTGGAACGACCTCCCCCTCTCGATGCAGTTTCATGAACTACTCGCCTTTTCTACGGGAATTGCCCGGGGGCAGGTCAACAGCTTAAGGCGTGGCGTCGCATCGAAACAGGTTATTCGGGGGGTTGCGCCGTAGTATCCACCGCCGAGCTGCTCCTAAAGCATAATCATTCGAACGACATGATTGCACTGGCATAAGTTTAGTTATGGCATAACTTTGGCATCACTTTAGTTTCTATATACAATAAAGTGATGGTGGCAAAGAATCGCCAGAGCCCCGCCCACCGGCGGATTGTAGAAGGTATTCACAGAGAAGCTTATTGAGGAATAAACTTAATGTTTAGCTTTTCAGAATAAGTTGGGCGACACCCCACTGCATGCTGCTTCATGGCGTGGTCACAGAGATTGTGTACAAATACTTCTTGATAGTGGTGCCAATGCTTGGATACGAAATCGAGATCAAAAGCTGCCTATCGATGTGGCCAAGGTTGGCAAGAATGTTCTTCGAAGGCTTATGAAATTCATCCATTAGTTTAATACTAGCTTCTTTTCACACTCGTTCATTTGTCTCTAAAGTTGAAGCGTAATTCAATCTCATTTGTCAGTGACAGCGAAAGGTCATTTTTAGGATGCTGAAATCGCAGGCTTGCTTGACCAAGCAATGAGGCGAGACACAAGAAACGAAGACTGTGAAAATGAGTACGAATCTGGATCTGATCAAGAACAATAACTGAGATTTCATATTTCAAAGTTTATTAAACTATTTATGACAATGTAACAACCTACACTGCAAAACTAGTCGTTTGTAAGTATGGGCAATCGATGAAGAATAGTGCTGGCCTATTGGGTGAAATGTTGGTAATTAGCTATATCGACGTCGCTTACATTCGTTATTTGGCAGCTACAATAGTCACGCGGAAGACGGGCGTGGTGATGTGCACTACTCTTGCTACAGTGGGTCAGTGAGCGTTAATCGCAGGACCTACTTTGCTAACTATGTGAAGCGCAAGACTTCTAGATAAGGAAAGTTATTCTATTTTTAAAATACGCCTTTCAAAATCACAAGTAAAGTAGGAAAAATTAAAACCAGAACGCGCGCGTCGAATCGATTTTTCGGGGCATCGCGCCACGTGTACCAAAAATCGCGATTGATGCAGGCCGACAAGAGCTAGAGCATCCGCTTGCGAGCACAAAGAATTATCGCCGATTCGTTCTTTTTTGAATGTGAACTTAAATACGCGAAGGGTTACAATCTTATAACTTGGGTATGTGAGCCAAGAAAAGGGAAGATTTTAGAGCTATGACGTGGGAAGTTCCATATCAAAACATGAACGTCAGCCAACCCAGTATAAACAAAACTCCTCCAATTGGAGTGAATCGTCGAGTGAATTCCTTGCCAGTGAGGCTGTAGTGATAACACGGTCCACAGAACATGACCATTCCGCCTGAAATAGGTTTGCAATTCATTGAGAGTGAAACAGTGTTTGTCAACAACATCAGAAGAAATCAATTTACTGAAGAAAGGCTGTGCTACGATAACAAAAAGAATAGGCACAAACTCACTGAAGAAAACTAAGCTTGTTACCAAAGGATAACGGGCTCGTGGAGCAGCTAACAATGCTAGGGTATGAATAAGATGATATCTCGATCCTGTTTCGAATGCTTTTTTGCGCCTTACGTCCATTGACTCGTCATCGCGAATTACTGAAACAACGAAGGTTGATAGAGTACAATAACTGCTTATGGTTAGACCTTATCTAGAACCCGACTTTTCACAATTTGCAAAACACAATTTTCACACACATGTGACCCATATACTGACATAAACAAGGCAATTCTATTTTTGTTATGAATTGTTGCGTGGGGGTGGGATGAGGTCACGATCTTGCTTTAGGACTGCCTCGCTGGCAGTTCGAGTGTAGATAGTGGGTGTGGTTCTCTATGACAGAAAGCGACTTTTTCGCGTTTTGCTGCAGGAGCTCTCGGCCCACCGCTGATCATTAGTGGACCTAAGGTTCCCACAGCGAAAATGTCCTGCGCTGCGAAACGCGAAAAAGTCGCTTTCCGTCCTAGTGAACACACCCGATCCGTAGATAGTTACCGATCATGCAACCGAATAATCGCACGACCAATACCTATCCACTCCACATGAACGCAACATGGTCAAACTGACATCTTCATTTCCTCTTTTTTTGGACGTTTACAGTGTGAGCAACTGCGGTGAACTTTTTTTGAAGAAGAGAGTCATACAGAATAATGTGATAGAGTGGAGGCAATGGGTCCTGGTCCACGGACGCACTTGAATTCGTCCTTCGAATCGCCCGCCCAATAGTCAAATAGCTTCATCGCATTTCTCTAACATTGCGAGTAAGATGAGAACTTTGCCATTCACTGTAATGGCTCACCCTACTCTAGTCCCTCTTCTCCTTCAGCTTAATCCAGGGCTCCTCGACCTCCTTCCTCGGATTTAGAGGACGCCAAGCACCGTTCTTAATTGTCTGCCCTTCGCTATACGGGAAAGTCTATATTTCAGCGCTTCTTGTGTGAACTTCTCAGCCAACTGATACGAGTAGTACCTAATGCGTTCTCCAAGTGATAGTTGCACTCCGCAAAACAAAAAGTTTCCCCCTTTCTACCTAGCGGGCATCTGTGCAAGTAGTTTGGGCCACCTACCAATCATTTTACAAGAGAAGGGAGCGCCGACAATTCCGTTTTCGCTTTCACACCATCTCAAAGCCTAATTCCTCTGTCCCACCCACTCCTTGTTATTTAGATAAACCCGAAAACAATGGCTGTAAAACTATTCATATTTCCAGTATGAAAACATGCACTGAGAATTCGTTTGAAATAGCGTCCAAAATGAAAAGATTAGAACCGAGAATTGAGAACAGTGACGAATTTTCTTATTTTTACCATGATAGCATCTATGGGACAAAAACTAGGTTTGAAAAATGGATTTTTAAAATCACAACATTTCACTCCTCGAGGTGGAGTCTGGCTTATGCAATTAAATATTCAAACCACAGCAAAAGCTGTACAAACAGAAGTACAGAAGACTAACCGTGTGCTCCATACGCTCCAACTGCAACGGCGACAGCTCCGGATAGTCCTGCTAGCCTAACAACTTGATACATTCCTTCCGTGACAGAGGATCTGATAGGAGCGCCGGGAGTTGAGAGAACAGGTGATTTCGCTCTTGGTAATGCTACTTCCGGTATGTAGCTCAATAACCAATTGATTTGCGCCAGTGCCATTCTGGCTTATGCCAACCACTGAATTGGCATTTCTCACTGTCAAACAACGTTCAAAAACAACGGACTACTATCGAGATGCAGTGAAACATTGACGAGAAATCTAGTCTGCGAAAAAAAAAACGCTCACTAGCCAAATAAGACTAACTTAGAAGGGCTGTGTGAATAAGCACCGTGAAAGTTGTTGCAAATATTGATTGCAGACTGAGGAATTGATAACGGGATCCGCAAGCAAGGCAGTCACGCGAAAGCTTGAAAAACACCGTCTTCTGTATCTTGCTGCCGAAATTCGGACAAACAACAAGCCATTTCTTGAAGCGACACAAAAACTACGTCCACGCAACGCCACTGCGTCCCTATTGGGATTTTGTAAAATATAGAATGGAATGCGAAGAGAGGACCCAATTCAAAAGACTATTCAGAGAAGTCAGCATCGCAACGTTTTTCGCCGACATGTTAAACTTATTGAAAATTGGCCACACACACTACCACATGTTTTACGGCATTATTGATGAGTTTGTTTTTTACGTCTCGCCAGCAGTTCTTTGCCGCTATTTCTAAGTCGAAACAAACCCCCTCAACATCTGAGGAAATCGCAGCCACATTTTTTCGAACCGGAACTGGGTACGCTTCCGCCACTTTTCAGCCTTAGGCACTGTTCACACCTTGCGCCACAGCCGAAAAACGCTCGAAACGAACGAATCTGCGCAAATGCGAAATGAATGAAATGCGTATCGATCCACAAAATGGGAGGAGCGTCGAATCGCGCATTCGAATCTGCGAATCCTCTTAAAAGGAATTAGTGTCTATCGATCAGTCAATCGGAGATCGCAGCATCGAAACGGCGGTGCGAAAATCCTCTAGCAACGCTAATAGGGCGTGGTTTACTACGTCGATACGTATCTAAACCTTTTCGCATCCGCGTTCGCGCGTGTGGCGGATTCTCCTGGTCGATACGTATCTTTTTCTTTTCGCAGATTCGAATATTCCGGATGGTTCGAAAACTATGAACAATGCCTAATACTTGTCTCACGGCTCGGGAGGGAGGGGGGGCGGGGCAGGCGTAACATTCGTGTCAAAACCGCTCTGTCCTTCGGGGTCGGCGGAGGGGAATCCAAAACAGGGACGAGTGGTGAGACAGTCCAGTCAGCACGATGGGAGAAACGCGCAGTAACGGGAAGCAATTCCTGCACATCTCCCTGCAGGATCTTCCCCTCCTCGCTTAAGTCCCATGTCCGCACCACTCGGGTTGGGGGGGGGGCACGCGATGGCGCGGCGCTCTGTTCGTCTGCTCCTCCAAGGCTTAGTCCACAGGGACAGTTACTCTTTCGCCATTATGTGGCAGTTTCAAAATACGCGCCATCGGTGACTAAGCCTTGGTAGAGCAGACGAAAACAGCGCCGCGCCATCGCGTGCCCCCCCCCCCCCGAACCCGAGTTTCACCTTCTCCAAACGGACTTGGACTTCTACCTCTTACTACCTTACCCTCCTTCGACCTCGACGGTGGACTTCTTTTGGGCCCAATCTCAGCGGTTCAAGTAAAGTGGCTGGCGACCCGACTATGCTGCCAAGCACAAAAGCCGTTCGCAGGCCAACAATACCAAAAGGGCAGTACGCCATGACGACATCGCCAGCTCAGCTTCTGCTTTCATTGGCGTATTCAAATCCATATTTCGCGCCATAGGAGTTGACGTGCAATCCGGGGCTTCGTGGCAGCCCGTCTGACACACGGCGGTCGTGCGGTGCACCCACGCGTTGTGCGGGCTGCCACGCAGCGGAGGGGACGGTTCTCGGCGTGCGGACACCTCACTTGAACGCACGGCCTTGATCGCTGCTGCCCTGTTGTTCTCCTTCTGATTTGAAAGTAGGTAGATTGCAGCTTAGCTCGGTTGGTCTGCTTAATGAAAAGCTAACTGTTTCTCATTCGCGTGGTGTCGTGCTCGTGCAGCTGGAGCTTGAGAGTCCTCAGAAATACTATTTCAGCTTAACTCACAATGGGAAAGGAAAAGGTACATATCAACATCGTCGTCATTGGCCACGTCGATTCAGGAAAGTCGACCACCACTGGTCATCTCATCTACAAATGTGGTGGTATTGACAAGAGAACCATTGAGAAGTTCGAGAAGGAGGCCCAAGAGGTGAGGAGTTTCGAGACAATACTGAACATTTAGAGCTTTAGTGCTTCTTCGTTTTTGGTTTTCGTGCTCCTTTTTGGAATTTTCCGCCGATTTTGCGTTTTAGTGTCATTCGTGGGGTATTTCGTAATCGCCTTTCTATTTACCAGCGGTGGGTGCACACCCCTTGTTTTCATCCTTTAAATGTGATTCAATAAGGAGGAAATCAACGTTTTGGAATGGTGATACTGAGCAACGTGGAGTTCGTTATCGTAAACGGCTGACTGAATAGCCTCCGACGGGTCAGGGTTTTTATTTGCAGTCCGCGGCCGATCGCGCCTTTGAAAGCTGACGGACAACCCAACGACGTCGTAATTGATATCTACGAAGAGTGTCTCATACTGTTCGCCGTTCGCATTAGGATGTAAATTTAACACATTTTAGATGGGTAAGGGATCCTTCAAGTACGCTTGGGTACTCGACAAACTGAAGGCTGAGCGTGAGCGTGGTATTACCATCGATATCGCTCTGTGGAAGTTCGAGACGGCTAAGTACTACATCACCATCATTGATGCTCCAGGACATCGTGATTTCATTAAGAACATGATTACCGGTGAGTTTTACTTGGTTGTCGATAACATATTATGAGAGAGATTGGAAGCGGAATCGTCTAGTGTTCCAGGAACTTCGCAAGCCGATTGTGCAGTGCTGGTCGTTGCATGTGGTACTGGAGAATTTGAAGCTGGAATCTCCAAGAATGGCCAGACTCGTGAGCATGCCCTGTTGGCGCAAACGCTTGGTGTAAAGCAGCTCATCGTTGCTTGCAACAAGATGGACTCGACTGAGCCGCCGTTCTCTGAGTCCCGTTTCAATGAGATCACCACTGAGGTCTCTAACTTCATCAAGAAGATCGGATACAACCCGAAGGCGGTCGCATTCGTACCTATCTCTGGATTCAACGGCGACAACATGCTAGAGCCCTCACCCAACATGCCATGGTTCAAGGGATGGGCTGTTGAGCGTAAGGAAGGAAATGCTACCGGCAAGACCCTTCTTGAGGCTCTCGACTCCATTGTTCCTCCACAGCGACCTACCGACAGGCCTCTTCGTCTTCCACTTCAAGATGTCTACAAGATCGGAGGTTTGTTATTGCCACATAGACTTGTGACTTAGTGTTGACCACCACTTTTTTCAGGTATCGGTACTGTCCCTGTGGGACGAGTTGAAACTGGTATCATCAAGCCCGGTATGGTCGTCACTTTCGCACCCCAAAATGTTACCACTGAGGTGAAATCCGTTGAAATGCATCACGAATCTCTTCCTGAGGCCGGCCCTGGAGACAATGTCGGTTTCAACGTCAAGAACGTTTCTGTCAAGGACATCCGTCGTGGATCAGTCTGCTCTGATTCCAAGAATGATCCTGCAAAGGAAGCCCGTTCGTTCAATGCTCAGGTTAGGTTTAGATCTTTTAGCGTGCTACGAAAGCTTGAATCATCATTATTGCAAAACTTAACTATCAGTTCTGATCGAAATCGCTAATTCAGGTTATCATCATGAACCACCCCGGACAAATCGCTGCTGGTTACACGCCCGTACTTGATTGCCACACCGCACACATCGCTTGCAAGTTCAATGAGCTGAAGGAGAAGGTACTGTGAATTCTTAAAACGCCAATTCCTTCTACTTGCATCCTTATCTCGTACTTTCAGGTCGATCGTCGTACTGGTAAGAAGGTCGAAGACAACCCGAAATTCCTGAAATCCGGTGATGCTGGAATCGTTGAACTTATCCCTACCAAGCCACTTTGTGTTGAATCTTTCACGGACTATGCTCCTCTTGGACGTTTCGCTGTACGTGATATGAGACAAACTGTTGCTGTTGGTGTCATCAAGTCCGTCGACAAGACTGAAGCTGCTGGAGGAAAGGTAACGAAGGCTGCACAGAAGGCTGGTGTTGGAGCCAAGAAGAAGTAAACCCGTGTGATTGTTTGGTTTTTTGTTGTCCCATTCCATAAGGGTAAAGTTGTTGGTTTAATGCAAGTTTTGTTCCGGAATAATATTTTTGAATGTTACATCTTTACATGTGTTGTGTTTCTGGAAATATAGGATATGCGGAGGACTGTATGGACTGACTAAACGTTCGTGTGCGTGTCAGTCATTGCGAATATAAATATTGCTGTTGTTCTAAATATAGCATGGAGCACTGCATTTCGTGCACGAACACACTTTTGCTGCTCGCTGCCGTGGGTTGAGTACTCTGATATCGTAAATGGTTGAGCCGGCGTTCATTGTGGAGGTGCTCCAGATTGCAGGATGACGGCGAATTTGCACGAGATGGGAAGCGGGGTTTCTGGGGTGGACTTGAGTCGTGTAGTCATTATAAGTTGACAAGCCCTGGAAATCGTTTCTTTTTTTTTGTTCGGGCGACTAAAATAGCTCCACTTGTGGGTGTTCGTTCATCACTGATTAGTACCCGGGGTCAGCTAGCAGGTTCCTGATTGTTAGACGCGTTCCACGCAGCAGCACAATTTTTCTTTGGCGTTTGGATGGAGAGGACGAGTGATGCTAATGGATTCAGTGGCTTTGGACTAGAGGGGCGTCCAGGGCAAAGTCACGACATCATGAGCCAGGCTATCAGTGTTCGCTGGTCAACACATACAAGAATAACTATGGGGGATTAGGTCATGGCTCATACTTTAGAGAATTTCCGTGCAATAGGGTACGTAGACAGCGTATATGAAGCGGGTGCCGTATTTGCGATTTTTGGTTGTCGTAGTTGGGCTTCACGAATGTCAAAAAGTCGGAAGGCAGGTCGTTTTTGACGATTTTGGCCGAAATTCCATGAAAGAAGCATGAAGTAGACAATAAGCGGAAAGCCATTTCTTCCGAGACACCCATGCTCCACCCCTGCTCGGCGGCCATTTCAGAGGAAAAGGCAGAGTTGTAGCGTGCCGGCCGGTCTTGAAATAGATCACTATAGGTGCTCCATGATGGCGAGAAGGTGTGGAGGGGTTTTCAGGGGTCGTTTACGTGGGTGTTCTTCCATCTTCCTTAGGTAGAATTGCTCATCCCTTGGCTTACCTTGGGTGCTCTGTATCAACTCCTCCCTCCCCTTGGGGCCTGGCTGATCCATACTTTTTGGTCTAAAAATGTTGTCCAACGCTCATGTGTGAGCTGGACATTTTGGTAGCAGGGTCAACCGTGCGTTCGCACTTTTCCAAAAATATTGCGATTCCCACCTTTAGTGGGGACTCAAATGCTACCCGCTGCCAGAGTCAACCGTGCGTTGCGCAGTTCGCAACGGCACGTTGAGAGATCCTCAACGCACGCTGTATGGGCGGAGACGCAGACGGCTCGAGCATGCGAGTGTGAATGTTCGCGCGAGAGAACGTGTCTAATCGGGCGAAACTGCGCAACGTGGCCGTTGAGAACTGCGCAACGCAGGGTTGACTCTGCCTGTTGCAACCATGTCCTACTTGTTAGGGGGGCCAATAAAGGGTATCGATATTGTTTGATTTCTGAGATCGGTTCTGCATGGCCCAGCACACACTTCCTCCATAACGGTTGGGAGATCCAGGTCAAGTGTGCGCGTTGAGGAATCCTCGACACGTCGCAGGGGGGGGGTCGTATTGGCCCGCTGGGAGGAAGGGATCGGGCCGGATTGATGCACCACTGTCGGAGGACAAACATCAGGGATCGAGTCGATGCCATGGAAGGCCAGAGGACTTCCAGTACCAATGCTGTTCCGCCCACATAAAATTTTCGTGATTCAGAGGTGTGCGCGTAGTGATTTTTCACTACCTCAGAGTTTTATCTTTAAACTATCACTAACAATCACTAACAAGTCAAAAAATCCAAAATTCGCACGTTTTCCAACGGATATTTTATCTTTCAGGTGAGTCCTCGAATCTCAAGGGATGTGAAGCACACGGCGCATACCAGAGTGGGCCCAGTTAGTTGCGCGCGCTTTAACTACGGCTCTTGAGAGAAAAAACTCTCAATTCAGGAAAAATTAAGAGGATCCTGAAAGGGTCTGTGTGAGATTACATGGAGGAGTACACTATTGAGCAAGAAATGCAGCCTTCAGCGTCAAATTCACAAGCATGTAATCGTTAAAGTTAAGACACGCTAAACAATTTTACACTTTTTGGAAAGAGAAAAGAAAGAGGATTTCGAATCTGCTCCTACTTTAGTGTATAATTGCCCCTGAAAGGAGCTATAGTCGTTGGAGTAGTGCTAATGCAGCGAAAAAGTACCTTTCGGCGGTACTCGGGCAAAAATCCTCAACGTGGCCATTTTTTAAATTGTGGACGTTTTTAGCAGTCCTAGTAACCGTTGAATAGTGCAATTCTTCTAGTTTATGCTGACGTATTTACTTTTCAGATTGGATGGGTTTGAACGTAGTTATGGCCTTGGAAAGCGTAAAAACTCGCACTCATCGCAAATTTTCCTCGTTAATTTTGCAAAAATCCTCAACGTGGCCATTTTTTTAAATAGTGGACATATAAAGCTGCTTTAGCAACCATTTGATAGAGAAAATCTTCTAGTTTTGTCTGACATATTAACTTTCCGGGAATGATGAAAAGGGAGCAAGTTACGGCCTCGGAAAGTGTAAAAACTCGTGCTCATCATGAATTTTCCTCGTTAATTGATCTAAATTTGTTATTTCTTAAATTTTTGTAATTTCAAATACTGTTAGAAAAAAGCTCTTCACAAAACTCCCAAATCTGCTTTCAGATTGAAAATTCGTCATATTTGAAGAAAGTTATAATCATTTGAATATTTGTTCAAATTTCAATAGTAATAAGCTGCTCCACGGTCAACGCCAAAGATCAGTCAACACACAGCTGGCTAAGGCGGTTAAAAAGCTTCTTTCAACTGAAGGGGGACGTGTAAATTGAGAACCGTACTCTGTGTAGTACTAGAATTTGGTAAGTCTTGTGAAGGAAATAAATAAAGAAGAGATGTTGTCATAGTATGCATTTTTAGTGAGTAGTTTGAGGTTTTCTGCTGCTTTTTTCGTTTGCTCGTTTGGTAGGACTCATCAATAATGATTAATTTTTTGACTTTTCACTTTTGTACTTTTTAAAAGAATTTTCGGTTGACGGTGTGATAGCAGGGCTTTTTTATGAACAGTTTTGGGGGAGAATTAGACAACCTTTCCATAGTTCGGCTTTTGAAGAGGGTCGTTTCATGGACTTCGGCCTGGCGGAGGGAGGGGGGGGGGTCGTATTTCCAAATTTTCCTCGACGCCTCGCTTGACCCTGGTGGAGATGCGTCAGCGAGGGCGGAGTTCAGTGAAGTGTTAAGAAGCAGCAAATCCAATTCTCGTGCTTTAAAGGCATGCCCCAGGATCACATTGGTGTGGCTCTTGCACACGAATGCGAATGTATTGGTGCGAAATGGGCCGGCAGTAAAGAAAAAAGGAAAAGAATCCGTCGAAAACGCTTAGGTTAAGGGCTCACCTTCCTAATCGGCTGTGCTAAGGAATGAGAGACTAAGCGCGGAGAGGAGAGTATGAGGCGAGAGAGCGCAACAGATGAGAGGGCGCCAGACAACAGCCTGATAAAAGAAAAAAATTGCAGCGCTGCAGCAGCTCATTTTGCAAGATTATCAGGTTATCTCCATGCAGGTGACTGCCACATTTGCGATCGCCCTTGTAGGGTCTACCCCATTGACCAAAGGAAATCTTCACACGCTCTCTGCTTGGGTTGTACCTTTAAACTACTTTCGTAGAACTTCCGCAAAGTTTCGTCATCGAAAAACCCGTCACATTCAACCCCTTTTTTATAACCTCCTCACATTTCCCAAGGGTTTAACCTTGCTTGCTCAATCTTAAATGCGACCCCCCGCCCGAATATTGCGAACAGACGGTTGACCCTGTTGTGTAGCCGTGTCGCTGAAAATTTTCCAGTGTTAGGGATGGCTGTTGGCAATGTAAACAGGAATAGCAGGAGAGGAGAATTTCGCGAATTCCGGTTCATTTGAGGAATTTAGAATTTTTTGAAAATACATACAAAAATTGGATATTTCACCGTTCCGACTGCACTCTGTAGAGCTTGAAGTATGGGTTTTTTGAGCTGAGAGTTAGTTGAAAGGGCAGTTTGAAGTGAGCGTATCGAAAGGGATAAGTCAGGGTAGAGCCCAGCTAGGAGAGGAAATTATTAAATTGGAGTGAATATTTGTTTTCAAAAAGGGATCAGCCGAAAATTTTCCTCAATGTCACGGCGAACCTCAATAACCTCAAATGGATCATTTGTTACATCTTCACGTTCTTTTGCTGTATTTATGGCTAAACATGTTGACTAATATATACTCCGATGTTGTGAAGTTCAAGCCATGCCGACCTTTCGGAATTTATTCTCGAGGCATTGAATAATTGGTATTCTGACAGGGCAGTGGTCTTCAATGGTCCTAGTGAAAAAGGACGTCTTCAATGTTTCAATATTTTAACCCTGTGTCAATTAGACCTCAGCCGTGACCTCATTACACGGAAATCTCATGGAATATTCCAAGTAATGAAAAGCAGTTGAATGGTCTTATACCATCGACGCCATCGTTATGATCAGGCAGACAGAGGAAACGACAAATATCAAATGCTGTCATCTCCATTTCACATAAGCTTCGCCTTCGCATGCGTATCTCCCGTATATCCTCTCTCGCCTCACTGTAGAGAGAATCTTTGGCCTGGAACGCCTTTTCAAAAAATGCTCCTAGTTCGCTACAAGAAGCGAGCCTGGCCTTCCTTATACAGGACACTTTTTACCGTTTCTGCTCTATCTTTTCTTTGTCAGATCACATATTTAGCATTTACGGCTTTTCATCTTTTACCCCATTACTCCCGCGTTCTCAAATTCTTGTCCTTTTTTGTCATTCTCCTTATTTTACTGCAAAAATATAAAGAAAAAATGATAAAGAAAAAATGATGTAAACATTCCAGTGTACTGACCGTCTTCTCTTTGTAAGGTCAGCGT